GAAGCGCAAAGGTGGTGGTGGTGGCGGCGGCAGAGGTGGTGGTGGCGGCGGCAGAGGTGGTGGTGGTGGAGGTGGTCGTGGAGGTAGCAGTGGGGCTGCTTCATCAGGACGTTCGGTTTCTACTGGTTCTGGAGCAAAGTCGGCCAGCACCTTTAGCCGAGGAGGTGGGTCCGTTGGGACCATACCAGCCGGTTCGGCCTTTGGCGGGCGCAGCATTGGCGGTGGTACGCGAAACGATGTCTACGGATCCCGAGCGTACGGAAGTGGATACCCTGGAGTTGCAGGGGCAGGCGTAGCTGGCCGTGGATTCCCATTCTTTTTCTGGCCAGTTGCCTTTGGTGCTGGCGGTGTTGGTTATGGAGGGTATCATTATCATTCCGAGGTTAGTGTTATCCTTATTTTTCTCTTGCAAATGAGGCTAACCTATGTTCTTTGTTAGTATGGACACCCCAGGAATGGCAGCAGGCCTGGAGGTCAACTAATGGTCGCTAGATACAACTCCATCGCCCCAGCAACGACATTCCGACTTCTCGCAGACAAAGAGTCTGTTGAATCCGTGAATGAAGTTATCCAAACTAATTGCGGAAGCTCCCTCGAAGGAGACATCAGCGTCGAAGAATACGATGGCGCAGATGTTGAGCCTCCACGACCAGAGGAAGTCATCCAATACTACCGAGCTAGTAGCGTTGCCCTCTCCTTGGACGGTTATAACAACACAGCTGTCTTCGAGCCTGAAAACACAACGACACCCGACGTACCGCTACCAAGCAATATCCACCTGGAATTATTGGAGTGCTTGAATTCGACAATTGGACAGGCAGTACCTCTCGTTGACGGTGCTGGAGCTCTAGGTACACCACCCGGCTTTGCCATGTTCGGACTTGTGGGGCTGGTGTGGATGTTGACATCACAGCTATGATTTCTACCCATATCTCTTCATTTTTCATGACTCTGCGATCCTTCGTACCCATGCCCATTCATACCCTACTCCAATCTTCTTTCATATCTCGGATCTCGTCTTTAAATGTTTTTCACTCTGATGACAATATACACTACCCTACACTACTTTCCACTCCTGCTTGTATTTCTAGAGCCACATTGCTTTTGTTTACGTCCTGAATGATTAATGACATGTTTGACGATCTCATAATCTTATGCTTTTCAAAAAGAAATCGTCCCTCCCGAATGGGAGCAGCCGACCTTGATTTTGCCTGCCTTTTACTTCCAAATGTTTGGCAAACGTGCGTGAGGAATAGCCCCCATTTCCAGTCACAGCCAACTTTTACCTACTCCGTACAACCCGGGGGCACCCCAACAAATCGATTTGTTGCTAGACCCATATAGACCCCTCAATGTGCAACCTACCTGTGTGCTTCGGGACCCATACTTGGATTATGAAGCCCCTGTAACGCGAGACGTTAAACAGCACAGGTCACGGTATTGGTGAAGTGAGGTCAGACAACCTTGTGCTGTAAAAATGATTGCACGCCGGATGGTTCCTAGGTATACATAGAGGAGGTGTAAATAGCGTCGTTTCCTACCAACCTTTAATCATACAGCTGTCCATCTGTCCTTCACCGGAGGCGCAAGATCCAGAGCGTGCGGTGACATTCGGGCCCTAAATGTGGGTAACATGGCATGTCCATGTCAAACCAGAGGTGCGGGAGGACCTGTCGAGATCCTTTTTGTTGGGAGTAAGCGAGTGAGCGAACATGTGGAAACTGCCCGCAAGCTGGAAGCAGTGCGCATAGTTGAGAAGACACTGTCCAGGCGAAGAGAAGCGATCGTTCAAGCGAGGGTTCGGTTGGAGTTGATATACCCAGTGCCGTAACACGAGAAAACAAGTTGTTTGCACTCGGGATCTGAGGAGTTGGCACTGATAATTTTAAAGGAGGTTCCGAAGAAGTCCTTGACGTCTCTCAAGAACTGGATTCTACAGTCGAAATCAGCAAACGAACATCGAACAAGGCGAAAAAGATCCTACGTTCGCAGAGTGGGTTCTCCCATCAGGACCTTTCCAACATCTTCGCTGCCCAATACCATTAGAAGTAAGACTAAGATCTGGTGTTGCCGATCCACGCAGCCACCCCGTTCAATTTCTGACAACAAGGCACGTGTAGCTTTTAGGGCGATGTCCTCTGGGACCACGCCGGGTTCTGATAGTGCCTCAGAGCAGTGTAGAGCCCCTGTTGTCGACTCTGCGAGAAGGCTTAGGGCGTATCCAGGAGATCTATAACGGTGTCAGCATCCTCCCCTTTGAAAAAAAGGCAAAAATTATCCTACTTTCCGCTCTCCTCGCCCTTGTAAACGTCGGAATAGAGGTAGATGTCGGGGATGTATCGATTGAGGACTGATCTCGAGGCCTCAATCATACGATTTGAGAATTGAGGGCTGACACGGACAGCATGGCTTCAAAGGAGGTTAGAACGCGAAGACACGCAATGATTCGCAACCACTGACGCAATGCCACGGATTCGTTTGATCTTCCCAGCGTCGGTGAAGTTTATAGTCTTGACTTGTTTCACAACCGGGCACAGGAATTGAACTTCACCCCCGCCGTTTGGCGGTGAGCCACGCTTCTTGATCTAAAAAATGGGATGGTGATAATTAACATCAATCATTCTTGAAGGATAAATGAGACCAAACGCACCCTAAGCTCCAATCCATCTGAAATACCAAAGAATTGTAGATGCGGCAATGTCACCGTTCGCAAAAGGTCGACCTACTTGACCTGTCGTCAAGATTTTCAAGCTGGGTCCACGAACAGAGTGAAACGCACCGAGAGATCGTGCTCGTCCGTTGTGATTCCCTTCAACGTCAATAGGAGGGGTCGTTTCGAAAACGGTGCCATCATGATGACGGGCTCAAGGAAATAGCCAATTGAGCGTGAAAGTGGACACTCATGTTGTACTGGACCACCAGCGATTATTCCTGGCTTTACGAGGATGGCGGAACCTGTAACACGATTTAGCGAAACCAATTGATATCATACAGAGGCTGTAAGCGCACCAGTAACTGAGATCTCAATAATTGTTCCATTTGTGACCTTTTCCACAAGCCTCAAGAAACTGACTTCAAAGTCTGCAGACCCAACAATGTTAACCTCGCCTCTCAGTTGGAATATGCTTGATATTACCTCTCAGACCAGGATTCTTGTCTTCAGACCGAATTCTATCAATCTTGACATGTCTTCCGCTGAGTATTGACAGTACCACTCGACTGCGGAAGTGTTCGTGGCCGCTGTACTGAATGAGAGAGGTTGGTTGAGCCATGGAGGACAGAGACAACGAAAGGCTTGGCACCATCCAATATTTTTGACCCTCCGGCCCGATTATTCCGATCCGTTAAAACAGTTCACTTCTCCTCCGTGTTCCTTCCGTCGGAGCCCTTCAATATCTATTCAATGTCTATTTATCGTCAACATTAATACGTACAACAACGTCGCTTGTCGACAAATGACTGATATCATTGTGCTTTACGAGGACAGCCGGGAGATCGTCACTTTCTAGATCTAGTATCGAAATTGATGTGTTGAGGCAATGGCTAAGCGGAAGCTCGCCTGTGTAAGCTGCCATATTTTCGGAAATCAGCTCGTTAAGAAGCGTTATTAAGAAGGCACCATGTGAAACTGCTAGGACAACAGTCGTATGCGCTCCTTCGCCTCCTTTTGCCTTGGAGGCGAGCGGAAGGATGGTAGATTTCCACCAGTTGAGTGTACGCTGACCCAACTGCGACATCGTCTCAACGGTCTCATCGTGTGCCAGTGCGTGCCAGCCTTCCTTCGACGCTTTCTTTCCTTGCATATTGCCCATAAACTGTTTTGAGATCGGACAATCAGCATGGCGGTAGGTTGGATTTCATGGGCGACTCACCCTTTCCCGAAGTTGCCGATCCTCTTTAACTTCGATATGAGGGTGGAGGCCCAGTATCTCCAGCGCTGTCTAGATGTGGCTGAGCTCCTTCATTATCAAGATGTAGCCATGTTCACGTACATTTTTAGCGCGACTCAGGTCGCTCGTCAGGCCGACATTGAAAGGAATATCTTTCAATGCGTTGGCTACAAGCTCAGCCTGGTTAATACCCTGATCGCTCAACTCTGTGTCCATATGTCCCTGGAATATACCGAGGAGATTCTCCTTTGTTTCTCCATGTCTAACCAGGTATACTCGAACGCGAGGCATATGACTTTCAGGATTGAAGTGAAGAGGATACAGGTAGCAGCAACGAACCCGGCGTAAGCGATAGTCTGATGTTACTTGTTAAGCACTAAGCGCTCATGCTTTAGGCGAACCGCTTCCAACTCAATCGAATTCTCGTTGTCCGCAGCAAACGTTCATGGACGTACATGCATTCCGATCGACCCTCCGATGGAAAAATGGAAGGGACACATTGGCCGACATACTTCCACCGAATCGCCATATATGTTCTGCACGTCATCCAGTGTGACTAGAACCCAGGTGCCTCAGAACCCTTATAAACGCATGGATCGTCTTCTCAACGTTTATCAGGAGGACTCTGCTCTAATAGCGCAGGGATGAGGGAATGTCAAGCTCACTCTGGGTCACCTTGGTGCATCTGAACGAGCCTGAGGGAGGAGTCAATACCGTCTTGAAGATTTGGTCATTTCCGTCCACATCCAAGACTTTTGGTGTAGAACGCATTTTATTATGTGCGTAAGACGCAATTATTTGTTGAATTAGAATTAGGGACTCCACAAAGAGCTCTGGATGGGTTTGGGACAGTATGCCAGGAGAAGTGAATCAATCGTGGGCGATTTCGGGATAGAAAAGCAGCTAATGACTAGTGAACTAGGCTTCAGGATTTACCGACGTGGGTAAGTAAGTGTCTTGCCTATGCGTAGCCACAAAGGCTAACCACGAGGTCAACGGAGCTGCGCAATATACAGGGGACCATAGGATGGAAAGGAGAATGTGGCCTGTTGAAGCCATTATATTGGTCCGGCGTCTAAAATGTGATGAGCCAATCAGACAAAAACATTTCGACGCCAGCAGGATTTGAACCTGCGCCCTCAAAGAGGAACAGATAATTCACAAGATTCGAATCTGTCGCCGTAACCACTTGGCTATAGCGCCTTGATGGTCAATCCCTTCCTCCTCCCGAGGGCCAGCAGCCGAAAACACTAACCGTTGAAAACACAGATGGATTCTCATTTCGCAAGGAACGATGGCACATCTTGGGATTAGGCTATGTGAGGTATATAAATTGAGACATTGAGTAAGGCTATTTGTAGGGTATGCCTATTAATTGGAGGAGTGTGAGTGAGGGGACAGACGCGGAGAAGCAGTTCCATACCATTTTGCAGCTGTGGAAATGAAGAGACGTTTCAGTGTTTTGGTTGACAGTTATGCTGAAGAAAACATACCCTCTGGAATTCGTCGTATACAGTACTTCGAACGTTCTCGTGCGCGTTCTTTATAACTCCCATGATCCACTCGGTGGCCTGACGTTCACCTAGTCCAGGCGCGAAGCGATCTCGCAAACGACGAATCGTACCCTCTCCCTTGAATGAAGGAAGTCCCGTTTCTAGCATCAGCTGAACGGTGTCCACGATTTGGTTGGAATACGGCCGGATGGCCAGGAACGCCTTGACAGCGAGACTTTGGAAGAGCTGGTAGCCTTGTGAATAACGTCCTCCCATGAGTAGAATCATTTCATGGTTAAGCTTGAAGGAGCTCGGCTCAAATTTAATGCCCTGTCAATGTCGTCAGAGAAAATTCAACATAGTGGAATGAGCTTGCTTACTCCTGGTCGTAATAGCCCAGAGAATCATGTTAGATGCAGGAAATATAGGCCAACAAAAGTACTCATCTATGTCGAATAGGAAACCGAAATCTAATAATAAAGCATTAGGAATGACATCGGAGGCCCTTGATCAAGTCACATACCGATATGCACGATATGACCTTCTCCGTCGATCATTATATTACCGTTGTGGCGATCCTTGATTTGCAAGATGTAGCAGGCAACAGAATATGCCGCCATGGATTGGATAAAGTTCAATCTTGCTGTCTGGAATGACACTGTGTTTTGGCCGCCATACTTGGCGACGAAGAAATCGAGAAGATCATTGACCTTCGCTCTCCCCATTTCGTCTCGAGAGGTTGCGTTTGGTACAACATCGATCACACCGCACTGCGTCCAGAGGTCAGTGTGGCAGAGACCCCATTGAGAGGATAAACATACCCCTGGGGCAGTCGCAGTGACGCGGTATGGGAACAAATAAAGGGTGATCCCAACGGATTCAAATATGTTTTTGAACATAGCTATAACCTGCAGAGCCAAGACATCTTGACGACAGTCATCTCCAACCTTGAAAATCGCTTGCTGCCAGACATCGTACTCGACGATGGTTTCCACACCACCTCCATCTCCATCCAAAAGGGAATCAGGATCTATCTTGACCTCGACCCGTTCCTTACGGACTTTGAAAGTGGCCATAAAGGGTGCCTGAGACATCGTCAATCATTAAAAAAAAACACAACATCCAGAACGTTACCTTAGCGTGACTTTGCAGGGGACGGCCTGACTTCTTGTCGATGTCAACTACAACACCATCCGGGTTACTGGGAAGATAGACCCCAACGTCAACGACAAGCTTCGCCATTTCTTCGTCAATCTTGGCCTGATAATGCGGTGGTGAGCCAGAGAGTAAGCCGAGAGGGTAACAAGTTATACCTTCTTCTCCGGTTTGGTTTTCTTAATATAAGGTTTCAGCTTTCCGGAAATTGACGTGACTTCATTGAAGAAATTGAACTCTCGGTCGTAAAAGGACCTTGCTTCACCAGAGAGTGAGTCAACAACCATAGCAGTCATTTCATCCAACTTTGGCTTCATGGGATCTTCCTGGATAATACTCAGAAGAAACGCGAGCCGTGGAGTGGTTTAACGCACCACCTCTGCAGCATCATCTTTGAAGCAATTGGCTTTCATGTTCCAGATGATTTGGTGGCAGAATAACTGAGAAATCTTAGCTGTCTCAAAGATGAACCGAGCGACATAACCTATCCCATTTGTTAGCCCGAAGCTTATGGGATATGAGCTTTGCTGACCTAGATCGTCGTGTCGAAGGGCTTGCACCACTTGGGGGATGAAAAAGAATGTTAAATCCACCGGATGCTGGGCCATAACTCGATTAGCGTATTGCAGCAACACCGGGTCGTTGTTGTATCGTGGCTCGAAGAAGGTGACGGCCAGAACAGGCGTAACAGGGGCCCAGAGCAGGACGTGCTAGTAGAAACATTTCGGTCAGGATTATTACATCATTATACTGAAGCAAAGGGAGATACGATACCTTGATATCTCGGCGCATATTGGGGTCCAGGCGGTCCCCGAGCAACAGAGGGAGAGCATCGGGCACATCCAAGATACTTCCAGCGCCAGAACGTAGCAGCTTTGCAAGTTCGTACCGAATGGTGGCATGCCTGAAGCGCTCGAGACAAAAGACGGCCACGGCAGGATTGATCTGCCAGACAGTCCGCATAATCCCAGGCCAGGACGACTAGTGCACGGTCAGAAACTCGCACCTATCGGTCTATCGGGGACCCACCTCTAAGACCGTCTTTTCTGTGCTGCCAACAATATCGGGGCTTCTTTCCGTATCGTTTAACGGATTGCTCCAGACTGACAGTCGATGAATTTCGTCTTCACAGAGAAGCCTCAAAGGCAAGCTGATATTTTTCAGCCGTTCGACGTAGTCTGATAGAAGGTGAGTTGATAACGGACAATGGGGCTTGAAGCGATACTGACATGCTGAACGAGAGACAAGCTGCACTGGGGACAAGCTAGATATCGAAGGTAATCCCCGGACAGAATCCGAGTTCAAAGCACTTAAAAACTCGGAGCAGACTTTGATATCGGCGTCCACTTGCACGCGGTTGGCCCCGAAAGAAAATCTACAGACAGAGTCGTAAGTCTGACCACAGCAAGCACCAGAGCTCCCTTACTGTGGACGAACGGCGAACCAAGCAAACGCCGTTTTATAAAGGCTTTCGCGGAGAACATGCTCGCAGTAGGCATCGAGAGACGAGCTTTTGAGGGTCTCAAATCCGAATAACAAAAACGAAAACCGTACTTCTCGAGCCAGCGCGTGGTTGCTAAAGAGGGTCAGAGTGGGCGAAAGAATGCGGAATGATCAACTGGTACCTCATTGATTGACAGGCAAAGGCAGAACGCAAGACAAGTTGCTGGATAAGAATGACTATGGCCGGGCGATGGTACCGAGAGGCTTGTAGGCGACTGAAGAGCATCTTGAGAACCATAGTTTGAGGGGACAGAATACGGCGAGCGTGGGCTGATGCACGATCTATCGTCTCTTTGTTTGTCGGACTGTAGCTGATTGCGTGGTAGAATGGATCTTGGTAACTGAATTGCAAGGTCAGTAAACCGAGGATACGCAAGCCGTTAGAACTGACTTAAGAGATTGAGAGAAAATTCCACGCTCGTGAGCAATGGTTTCCGTCCAGGCCGCCCCAATCTCAGAAATCAAAGCCACTTCGATATATGGATTTTCTGCAATCATCCAATTCCAAACTTCCACCGCTGCTGCTATTGCTGACGGCGTGGCAACGGCGAAGGGCAGCGTCACAAGGTGATAAAGCAGTTCGTAATCCGACTTGGACTAGGACATTATCAGCACGAATAACAAGAGTTGAACGCAATGACCATACCTCCTTCTGAGAGATAAGTACAGCGGCGCAACGGTACAGAAGTCGGCGTAAATCGTGAACAGTCAAGACGCTCTTCTTGTCCCTTATGTCTTTAGTTGCTTGCTTCATATCTCTCCTAAGGGCATCTACCATCTCGACTGGTGTGTGTTGAGGTGGAGGATTGGCCAGCTGGTCAGAAGCTGGTGTACACCGTCAGGTCCACAATGCATGTCGGACGAAAAGTTTTACTCACAAACGGACAACCGAATACCCGCACTCTCTCCCGCATAGTATCCCTTGATCGCAAGCTGACTAGCAAGCGTCTTGGCTCCGTCCACTGGTAGTTTCGACAAGCCAGATAACGAAACTGGGACTTTTAAGCAACACATCTACCATCTTCCATAGGTTCAACATACCAAGATGCCGGTGACCGGGACTTATAGTCCTTCCAAATTGTTCCGCGAGCGAGGCGCCTAGTTCCGCAGCCTCTGTGCTTGAAGAAGAGCGGCTCACTGCTAAGTATTTCTGTTGAGCCCGTTAGCTGAGCACGCAGGGTAGTTCAGAGAAATAGGGATCAACCTGCAGGGAGGACTGGAGATCCATAGGTGCTCGGTTGAGGGCCAAATCAAGCCATGCTTTAGAGTACTTTCTGAGTTGCCCGAGAATTTGCTTTCGCACTCCATAGCTGTCTGTTAGTTGTAAGGTTATATCGCTCCTGTCTGAGTGGTACTCGTAGATAGGATTGTACTAGGAAGGTGGAATGAGCAATGTACAACTTCAAAAGAGGACATCCTACCTCGTCCAAGAATTCGCTTTCGCAAGACCGTTGCAGCAAGGTTAAAACCTCGAGTATGGCGAATACAAGTTGCGGATCGCACATCAACGAAGGGAACGATGTGATGAGCCTATTGAGGTACTTGGATGCGACATCACGAGCCTGTTCCACCCTGTGAGTGCTGAGAATGAGAAGACTACGCAGTTCATCGGAAAGACATTTGGGCATTGTTTGTTGAGCGGCTTTGGTGTTTAGGTCATGAATGCATCCACGGATAACCTAACACAGTTGAGTGGGGAACTATTGGAAGAGGACTGAGACCTACATTTTCTGCCACCGATTCCATGCATTTAATAAGAGTCGGGGCTTCGTTCAGGCTGTCGTTTGTGAAATAATGAACCAGCGATGAAGGCCGACCTGCAGCCGATCGCATCTTTTCGACGTCGTACATTGCCAGAACAAAGACGACTTGGCCCGAAGAAAGGTGCCTAACCTCACTGTGTCTCATGGGTAGGTGATGGTGTAAAAGAGCGCGGTGACTGGCTATAACCTGTTGTATCTCAATGAGTGTCATTACATACATTAGCCGGAGGCAACCTACAGTATGCGCGTATTCTTGTCGGATGACCGAGCTGTATTCAACATCGCTTGC